GGGCAGGAAAGTCCAAGACACTCTTGTATCCAATTATTCCCCAGAGCTGGAAGTGGACCTGTAGTTCAAAGTGGTAGGGTGCTAACCTAAGAGGGGGAAAAAAAATCTTAGGGACAGCCACCAGGCCCTGAGTTCAAACCTCAAGACAAAACATATAGTTAGGTAGACGGGATAGATAATCAAACCTTGGTCTTGACCTATCTTTGGGCAGACCCAAGGTAGCATAGGATGAGGGATGTGAAATTGTGGTTAGGGGACTGCTCATCCTGGGGGGGGGGGGAGCCACGGTGGGTCAGCACCTGTCTGAAGTTGGGGGGGGGTGGGGGGGTGTCTGTTACCAGGGATGAAGCAGAATGGGAGTGAGGAGGGTGGGCTTGCCCCTGATCAGGGTGTGGCTGGTAGAGAAACCTTCGATCACGGCTATTTCTCCCCCCGACCCCCTTCCCCACCCCACCCCCCGCACCCCGCCACCCCAGTCTGCCTGAAGGGCACCAAGGTGCACATGAAGTGCTTTCTGGCCTTCAGCCAGGCCAAGACCTTCCACGAGGCGAGCGAGGACTGCATCTCGCGCGGGGGCACCCTGGCCGCCCCGCAGGCGGGCTCCGAGAACGACGCCCTGTACGAGTACGCGCGCCAGAGCCTGGGCGGCGAGGCCGAGGTCTGGCTAGGCCTCAACGACATGGCGCACGAAGGCGCCTGGGTGGACATGACCGGAGGACACATCACTTACAAGAACTGGGAGACGGAGATCACGGCGCAACCCGACGGCGGCAAGGCCGAGAACTGCGCCGCCCTGGCCGGGGCCGCCAACGGCAAATGGTTCGACAAGCGCTGCCGCGACCAGCTGCCTTACGTCTGTCAGTTCGCCATCGTGTAGTTCCGGTGCTTGGGGTGGGTGGGTGGGGATGAGGGGCGGGTCACTGGGTGGGACCAGAGAAGGAGGGACCAATGGGAAGCTCTGAGGGGCGGGACTTTCAGAACGACTGGGCGGAGAGGGCAGGGGGAAGCTGGTGGGAGGTACCCGGGAGGGGCGTGGCCGTAAGAGGGGCGTGGCCACAGTGGGGGGGAAAGGGTGGGGCCTCGGGAGGTAGGAACCCGTGGGAAGACTTTGGGGGCGGAGCTTTCGGGGCTGGGGCGTGGTCAGAGGCCTGAGGGGCGGGGCCGTGGGAGGAAGTGGATCCCTGAGGCTGGAGGAGGCCTAGAGGCCCAAGGAGGGAGGAGGGTCCTGAAGTCTGAGAAGAAGGACCAGGGCCCAGGGAGGATGGGGGGGGGGGGGGGGGGGGACTGGGCTGTTCATGATCATGTTGGGATCCCTTGGATTCCCCTTGTTTGCAAATAAAGTTGTTGTAGAGTGGCTGAAGTCTGTGCAGGGTTTTGGAGAGGCAGGGAGAAGATTCCACAATGCTGAGGAAGAGGAGGAAGGAAAGTAATCTGGCCCTGCAGACAGGAAAAGGGTCCAAGAAGGGGCTTGGGGAGAGAGGGGAGCGTTCATCCTGGGGCTTGAACTCAGGACCTGGGCTCTGTCGCTTAGCCTTATTCACTCCAGGCTAGATTCCGTCCGCCACGTGAGCCATCGCTTCGCTTCCGGCTTTTCAATGGTTCATTGGAGAGAAAAATGTCTCAGCAGGACTTTCCTGCTCTGACTGGCCTTGAACCACAATCCTCAGAGCTCAACCTCCTGAAATAGCTAGGATCCGATTCACTCATGTTTTCTCTTTTTCTTTGCTGAAGGTCCGTCCAGTGGTGATGGCCTTGTGCCCCCTAAATACTTAAGTGTGTGTGTTTCCTGGAAACAAGGCTCTGTTCCTTACCTCCCACAGCACATTGATCAAGGGGCAGGAAATTCACATTGATAACAATATGGCTGATTAAGCTGCAAGCTTCTCTTTATAGAATTCGCTTTCATCTGCTGGAGGCTTATCACGTGCTCTCCCTGTCTCCACTTCCAGAAGAGAGGGAGCACCTACTCCGCTCCTGCTGGGGGTTTCATTTCTGAGGTTCATGGGCCTGCTGTGGGGGTTTTATGCTCCTGCCTCCGGAAGCTAGGTGGTCTACCTTCATCTTCACACTCAGCTGATCTAGAAGCCAAATATGACAGTCACTGGTACTGCCAGGGTGGTATGTCTCCTCTCTTCATCCTCACCCATTGTCACTGAGGTAATCAAATTGCCAGTTTAATCTGTTGTCCACCTTTATTGTTTTTAATCGGTCATGGGGCTTGAACTCCGGGCCTGGGCTTGATTCCTGAGCTCTTTTGCTCAAGGCTAATGCTCTACCACTTTGAACCACAGCACTACTTCTGGTTTTCTGGTGGTTCACTGGAGATAAGAGTCTCAAGGAGCTGGGTGCCAGTGGCTCACGCCTGTCATCCAAGCTACTCAGGAGGCTGGCTGAGATCGGAGGTTCATGGTTCAAAGCCAGCCCAGGCAGGAAAAGCTGTGAAACTCTTATCTCCAGTAAACCACTAGAAAACCGGAGGTGGCATTGTGGCTCAAGTGGTAGAAAACTAGCCTGGAGCTGAAGAGCTGAGGGACAGTACTCAGGCCCAGAGTTCAAGCCCCATGACTGACAAGGCTAGCACTCTACCATTTGAGCCACAGCTCCACTTTCAGCTTTCTTTTTTGGGTAGTTAATTGGAAATAAGAATCTTACAGACTTTCCTGCTTGGGCTGTCTTTGAACTTGGATCCTCAGATCTCAGCCTCCTGAGTAGCTAGGATGACAAGGAGTGAGCCACGGGCACTGGCTGGTTTTCATTGTATCTTGGCTTTCGTGAGGTATCATTGATAGCAGTTTGATTGGCTGGGGCAGGCAGTTTGTAAGCCATGGGCATACTTCATGCTGGTCTATTCTCACAGGAAGCCAATCCATAGAATTCCTCGTTCAAATCCATGTCTTCTAGCTCAGTTCTGGACCCTTCCAACTGCCCCTCAGCCTTCTTAGAAGGACAGAAGTGCCTGGGGTAGGAGTGGGGGACATTCTAAAAGTGTGAATGGCTACGTTCCTGAGAATATCCAAGGCTCTTTATGTGAGCAAGGGGTAGAAAAGCAGCCACTTGGACAGCCTGAAGACAGGCATTACCTGCTTCCGGCAGCAGGTGGCGATATGGGAAAGAAAAATCATTCCCATCTTTTATCAGCCACTAATGCTTGCTCCCACTTAGATTTGAGATCTGTGGCCAACTCCCATCTTTTTTTCTTTTTGCCATTCCTGGAGCTTGAACTCAGGGCTTGAGCGCTGTCTCTGAGCTTTTGTACTCAAGATTATAGCACTCTACCGCTTTGAGCCACAACTCCACTTCTAGCTCTTTGTGGTTTATCGGAGATAAGTCTTTTGGACTTTCTTGACTGGGCTGGCTTTGAACCATGAGCTTCAGATCTCAGTCTTCTGAGTGGCTAGAATGACAGATGTAAGCCACTGGTAAGCCCAGCATCTCTCCTATCTTTTGAGATGAGGTCTCTGTGTTTCCAGGTTAACCCTAATGTCGTGGGGTTATTTTGTTTGTTTGGTGCTATTCCTGGAGCTTGAAACCAGGACCTGGGTGCTATCCCTGAGCTTTTTGTGCTCAAGGCTATGTTCTACCACTTGAGCCACAGCTCCACTTCTGGCTTTTTGGAAGGTAAGAGTCTTTATTGGAGATAAGAGCCTCATGTACTTTTCCTGCTCTGAGTTCAAGCCCCAGTACCAGCACAAAAGCAACAACAACAAAAACAAGGAAAATTTTAAAAAATCCCAAAACATTCACCTGGGCACTGGTGGCTCACTAAAATCCTAGCTACTCAGGAGGCCAAGATCACAGTTCAAAGCCAGCCTAGGCAGGAAAGTCCATGAGACTCTTATCTCCAATGAATCACCAAAAAGCCAGAAGTGGAGCTGTGGCTGAAATAGTAAGGTGCTAGCCTTGAGCAAGAAAAGAAAAAAAAAAGGCTCAAGAACAGCATTTAGGCCGAGTTCAAGCACACACACACACACAAAAACACACACACATACACACAGACACAGACACACACACACACCAAACGAAAGTATGAATTCAAGTCCCAGCACACCCTGCCCACACACAGCAAAACAAAAACTGGCTTCTACACTGGGTGGTAGCAAATGAATCGAGAAGTTTGAGTCCAAGTGCAGCTTTCCGTAGGATAAGCCAAGGAAAGGGTGAATAAGACAGCAACAAACATCTCCCGTGGGGAGCATGTCATGAGAAATGGCCAGAGAAAGCCAGGCACTGGTGGCTCACTCCAGTCATCCTAGCTACTCAGGAGGCTGAGATCTGAGGATCAGGGTTCGAAGTCAGCCTGAGCAAGAAAAGTCCTGGTGTGACTCTTACCTTCAATGAAACACCAGAAATCTGCAAGTGGTGCTGTGGCTCAAAGTGGTAGAGTACTCGCCTTGAGCAAAAACAAACAAACAAACAAACTCAGGACAGCCCTGAGTTCAAGTCCCACAGCTGACAAAAAAAAAAAAAGAAGAAAAAGAATAATGGTCATAGAACCGAGGACTCTAAAGAACAGGAAACCATAAGAGCATTCAAATAATCCAATCCACAGTTGATTTGTAAATCTGTTTATTTAAAAAAGCATAGGAAACAAACAAAAGGCTAGCTAAAAATATGTACATTCAATAAATTATTTCCAGCTAAGTATTGGTGACCCATAGGAACCGATTCTCTAAGATGGACTGATAGATTTAGGATCTCGGTTGACTGTCCCCCTCTGAACACTGGCCACAGCATCAGAGATGCATCACGCTGAGCTGGACTGGCTTACATTTATGCCAATGAACACAGATGCTGGTGGCTCCCGCCTGTCATCCTAGCTACTCAGGAGGCTGAGATCTGAGGATCACAGTTCAAAGCCAGCCCGGGTAGGAAAGTCCATGACAACTCTTATCTCCAATAAGCCACTCAGAAAACTGGAAATGGCGCTGTGGCTCAAGTGGTAGAATGCTAGCCTTGTGCAAAAAAAAAAAAAAAACGAAAACAAAAAAGCTCAGGGACAGTATCTGGGCCCCGAGTTCAAGCCCCAGGATGCATGTGCATGCGCACACACAAACACATGCACAAATTGTCACTTCAAGGTGACAAATGAGCTGAACCCAGGGCTTAGGGCTGCCCCGTGCTAGACCGTGCAAATCTCTCTCCTGTCAACACATCTACTCCACAACACGAGCCAGGTTTAGAATTCACACAGCCATGAACCCTCATGACCAGACACTAACCCCAGCCAAAATCCATCGCTTCTGCTTCGTGACCAGAGCAAGTCCACTAGATAATTGGAAGTTCGTGGCACTCAGGATCCCTTCTTCCCTCTTCCCCTATTCGATCCCTTTTCTTGGAGGAGGTTCTGGTTAAGGGGATCTCTTGGCGCTGTATATCTCCGCAAAGTCTCTAGAAGGATGCTAAAGTTATTCTGCTGCTGGTTTTTCGGGCTGTTGGGTCTCCAGCAAAGGTATATCTGTGTCTCTTTGGCTTCCGTCATGTGGATGAGGATGTGAAAAGGTATAAGGTTCACTTTCCGACTCTGGAGGGGCACAAGGGAGAGCTTCATCGTTGCTCAACTTTGTAGTTGGGGCCCTGGAGCCTATGGGAGGTGGAGATGGGGGGCAGTCCCCCATTGGGCCCTGGAAAGGACGGTAGGTGTCCACTTCCGGTCGGAGAAAGGACCCATTCGATCCTTCCTGTAGCAAATGCCCATACACCATGCAGTCATCGATGACGGCGTACACGTGGGAGTCATTGTCTGCCCGACCTTTCGGGAACTTTCTCGGCTGTCTGGGCATCTGGGTGTTGATGTGGCCATTGTAGATTCCCACCACCGGACCTTTGTTGAGCTGCTTTTTCCTGTGTGTCACAAAGGATACAAGAAAGATGAGAGGGGCTGGGGAGGGGGCTTTGTGGTAGGATACGTGCCTAGCATGCAGGAAGTCCTGGGTTCGATTCTTCATTTCCTGCTAGAGTTGGACACTGTGAAACTCCTCATTAGTAGAAATTACTAACATAGGAAAGACGCAGAATGATGACAAAATTCAGGATATGCTGGGGCCCTGCATGGCTCACCCCTGTCATCCTAGTGACCCAGGAGGCTGAGATCTGAGGATCATGGTTCAAAGCCAGCCTGGGTAGGAAAGTCCATGAGACTCTCATCTCCAATGAACCCCCAGAAAACAGGAAGTGGCGCTGTGGCTCTAAGTGGTAGAGTGCTAGCCTTGAGCTGAAGAGCTCAGGGACAGTGTTTAGGTCCTGAGTTCAAGCCCCACAATCAAAAAAAAACCCACCACAAAAACAAAAAAAACCCTCAGGATATGCTGCCAGAGTTGTTTAATAACTGTATTAATTAACTGTATTAATTCTGGCTGGGTACTGCCAGAATTAATTAATTAACTAATTAATTAATTCTGGGTCTGCACTCACAGATGACTGGACATAAGCGTTCTCTTGTCTTGGACAACTAAGTTTTCTGTTCTCTGATCCCAACAGCGGGCAATAATGACAATCGAGAGTGGAGACCATTATCCAAATTAGCAGAATGGACCGTGTGATACAGGCTGGTACTTCACTCACTGTGGACTGGATTCCTGGTATTTTTTTGGGAGAATGAGATACAAATAATGGTACTGTTGCTTATAAATTCAGACTTTCTGGCCACAATGACCAGTTCCCAAGATTCCTGCTTGACGCCTATCATGGACACTCCCTAGTATCTAATTTTGCTCCCACAGTGTCTTGTGTGTCCCCACTAAAGCTCCCATCTTGCTGCCCTGAACCTGCCAGGATAACAAGTATGAGTCACAAGCACCAGGGTTCACTTCTGGCAATCTGAAACATTCATCTTTGGGCCAGATGCTGGTGGTTCACACCTGTCATCCTAGCTACTCAGGAGGCTGAGATCTGAAGACTGTGGTTCGAAGGCAGCCAGGGCAGGAAAATCTGTGAGACTCATATCTCCAATGAACCACCAGAAGACTGGAAGTGGCGCTATAGCTCAAGTGGTAGAGCGCTCACCTTGAGCTGAAGAGCTGAGGGACAGTGCCCAGGCCCAGAGTTCAAGTCCCATGACCAACAACAACAACAACAACAACAAAATCTTTGGGGGGGGGCATGGCGGGGTGGGGAGCAGGGGATGCAGAAGCTAGAGAGGAAAAGTGAGTCATTAACAACCTATCTGGTCTGTATGATCGAACCAGCCATAGCCAGTGAGAGAAGACAGTCCACTTACTTTTTCTTCAACAAGCAAATAATGAGTAGAAGGACAGTGAGCAACACAACTCCACCTCCGACCACGGCGATGATGATCACTGGCAGGTCTATGAGCAGAGACACGGAGACAGCGATGAGGAAATGAGCGAGGATTAGCACCAGGCTGAAACTCCAGGAGTCTCCAAGATGGCCACCGCCAGCCATTTCCCCTCTACACACACACATACACACACACACACACACACACACACACACACTAGCTTCAAACTGCAATCCTCAGATCTCAGCTTGCTGAGTAGCTAGAATGACAGATGCACGCCACTGGTGTCCACCTGCAAGATATCTTAATGTTTCTAGGATGGCCATATTGTAAGGAAGCCTCTCCCTGCAGGGAGAGGGTTGAACTGTCTTGTCCTCCAATAAGCTATGGAAAGCACCTGGCTAGCACTTTAGATATTTGGGGGTAGACGTGAAAAACTCCATGCAGTGTCTTGTCTGACTGACTTTCTTTAAATCTTCTGTTTTTGTTTTGGTTTTGGCCCGTGTTGGGGCTTGAACTCAGGGCCTGGACACTGTCCCTGAGCTTTTGTGCTCAAGGCTAGCGCTCTACCACTTTAAGCTACAGCCCCATTTCTGGTTTCTTGGTGGCTCATTGGAGATAAGAGTCTCATGGACTTTCCTTCCCAGGTTGGCTTCAAACCACCATCCTCAGATCTCAGCCTCCTGAGTAGCTAGGATGACAGGCGTGAGCCACCAGTGTCTTTTCTTCTGCTACTTCTTTTCTTTTTTAAGTCAGAAATTGAACGCTGGGCATCACACTGGCTAGTTAGATGCTCTACCACTCAATCTATCATTCTATCTCTTTTTGGGAGGGGAGGGTTTTGATGGCTTATTTTATTTGTTCATTTTTGCCAGTACTGGGGCTTGAACTCAGGGTCTCTTACTCTTCCTTAGCTTTTTCTTTTTCTTTCTTCTTGTTTTGCTCAAGGCTGATGCTCTACCACTTGAGCTCTACCTCTAGGGCTTCCGATGCCAATTTTTCTCTCCTTTGTCATCTCTGAAAGATCCTAACGCTCCTTACCTAGAGTCCTTGGGGTAAGAGTCACCCAGAAGAGGAGATTGAGCTGCTTGCTGCTCGCAGGGCTACAGTTAGAGATATTGACCCAAAAGCTGTGATGGTAGCATCTAGGTTTGGGGAGGATATCATCTTCCAAGCTGAAGATTTCCTCGGCCTGGCTCTGCTGCTCCTGGATGATCATGTATGCACGGCCAGACTGGCACACCACACCTGACCGCTCCCGGTAGAAGGTCAGATAGGCTTCCTGCTCACGAGGCACACTGATGTTCCAGGATACCGAGGAGAGAGCTGGCATGCCTCGATCCCAGTTAGGAGTCCGCAGGTACACTTTACTTGTAGTATCTGGGGTCACTGTGAAAATGCCTTCTTCTGTAGAAAAAGGAGGAAAGACGGAGTGATGGAAGGGGTGACACTGTCCAAAAGAGAAATGTACTCATTGGGTGCCAATGGTTCTGCCTGTCATCCTAGCTACGCAGGAGGAGCTGAGGATCATAGTTCAAAGCCAGCACGGGCAGAAAAGTCCCCATGAGACTCTGATCTCCGATCAACCACTCCAAAACTGGAAGTGGTGCTGTGGCTCAAGTGGTAGAGAGCTAGCCTGGAGCAAAAGAGCTCAGGGACAGTGCCCAGGCCCTGAGTTCAAGCCCCAGGACTGAAAAAAGAAAAGAAAAGAAAGATACTCATTTTCTGACTTATGAAACTGTAAGCTCTCTGTATATCACCTTTAGAACAATACATATATAGATGTAGACATATGTGTGTGTATATATATATCCATATTTATATGTACACATATATGTGCGCATATATATTTTATTATTATACATTGTACATTATTACATGTTATTATATATTATATATGCTATATATGATATAATAATAAATTATGTGTAATGTACATTATAATAGATTCTGTATTATGCTGTATTATATATTATATTTAATATAATATATTGTATATGTTGTATAATATTTACACTAAAAAGGAAAAAAAAAAGCTGGGTACTGGTGGCTCACACCTGTCATCCTAGCTACTCAGGAGACTGAGATCTGAGGATCGTGGTTCAAAGCCAGCCCAGGCAGCAAAATCCAGAAGACTCTTATCTCTCCAATGAACCACCAGAAAACCGGAAGTGGCTCAAGGTGGTAGAGTGCTAGCCTTGAGTAGAAAGAGCTCAGGGGCAGCGCCCAGGCCCTGAGTTCAAGCCCCACAATGGACAAAATAAAAAAGAAAGAGAGAGAGAGGGAGAGAGAGGGAGGAAGGAAGGAAGGAAGGAAGGAAGGAAGGAAGGAAGGAAACTAATCTCTTGTGCTAATCTCCTCTCCAAATTCACCACTTAATTAAGGGGCTCCTAAGATGTAGCCCCTTGCTCAAAGGAGGAAGGCCACGGTGGGGATGGGAGGGGGTGGAGGTGGGGAAGAGGGAGGTGGAGGATGCCCTCTCTTACCTTTCAAGTTTGGGATGAAGGACACAGTGAGGCTCTGTCTGGAGACATCTTGCAGGAAGCTAGAGGTAAATGTACGCAGGGTCACGGAGCTGTTCTCCTTCACCAGGATCCGCTCAATGGAACCTCCAAGACAGAAGTAACCAAAGTCATGGCTGCCCGTGCTACTGCCCACAAGATAGCTGTAGCTTGTGTTGCAGACTCTCTCTTGTGTGTGTTGCTGGAGCTTCTGGGCTGGCACTATTACCAGGCTGAGCTGGTCCTTGGGTACCAGCAGCTTCCACGAGAAGTCACGCAGCTCTACTGGTAGTTGAAGGATGTAGCCAGGTACCCGCAGAGAATAGGATCTCTTGTAGCAATATCGGGGGTCCAGGCAGCCTGGAACAGAAGGTGTGTGGGACTCAAATACAGAAGAGATCGGAGCAACTTCAGCCCGCCCCATCCCTACTTTCTCAAGTCAGCCTCAGGCTGCCCTGCTTTGAATTTTGTTCTCCATTCTCCCTCTTCTGGCATCTTCCTGAATTAGTGTTTTTCCCTCCTGCTGGAACTTACTTGTTCTTCACTAACCTGGGAGACAAACTTCTATGAGCAGTGAGGAGAGAGATAGGCTCTGGTTGAACCAGGTGCTGTAGGTCACGCCTGTAATCCAGGCTATTCAGAACGCTGAGATATGAGGATTGTAGTTCAAAGTCAACCAGGGTGAGAAAGTCTGGGAGACTCTTATCTCTACTACACTACCCAAAAGAAACCAGAAGTAGAGGTGTGGTGCAAGTGGAAGAGCACCAGCCTTGAGAGAAAAAGCCAAGGGATTAGGAGAAAAACTGTCTTTTCTATCAGTGTATTGCTTAAAAGTGTCTGCCGTCTGGGCAGGTGGCTCAGTGGCAGAGTGCTTGTCTAGCATGCATGAAGCCCTAGGTTTGATTCCTCAGAACAAGAAGTGGCATTGTGGCTGAAGTGGTATATAAGCTAGCCTTGAGCAAAAGAAGCTCAGGGACAGTGCCCAGGCCCTGAGTTCAAGCCCCAGGATTTGGGGGACAAAAAGTTCCTGCTTTGGCCTGATTGCTTGGCTCTTCTCAGGAAAAGAGGCACTGCTTTGAGATAAGAAAAAGATTTGTAGCTACTCCGGAGGCTGAGATCCGAGGATCGTGGTTCAAAGCCAGCCTGGGAAGGAATGTCTGTGAGACCCTTATCTCCAATAAACCTCCAGAAAACCAGAAGTGGCGCTGTGACTCAAGTGGTAGAGCGCTTGCGTTGAGCTGATCATCTGATCTCAGCCTCCTAAATAACTAGGATTACAGGTGTTCGCCACCTGTGGTAATCTCTGGAGTGTATTATTTCAATTGAGGCTGATCCTAAGGAAATAAACACACTGATATCTTCTCTGCTGCTCTCTTGTTGATCTTGCTTTTCGGCCCTGGATGGGCATTGCACATCAGATGATTGACTTCATTTATTTTTTTGTCAGTCATGGGGTTTGAACTCAGAGCCTGGGCGCTGTCTCTGAGCATTTCGCTCAAGGTCAGCGTGCTACCACTTTGAGCCACAACTCCACTTCCAGTTTTCAGGTGGTTCATTGTAGATAAAGAGTTTCACAGACTTTCCTGCCTGGGATGGCCCTGAATCACAATCCTCAGATTTCAGCCTCCTGAGTAACAAGGGTGACAGGCATGAACCACTGATCCCCCAGCTCACATCAGATGATTTATAATCTACCTATGACACCCCAAGAAAAAGAGTCAGGGGCAGAGGGAAGAGACCAGAGCACTGGGGTTGGACATACTTATAGTTTTCTCTGCGTTCACCCACAAACGAGTCAGGTCATCACAAAGGAAAGATATGGTGTGTTTGGAGCCCGCTGTCAGGGTGACATTGGTACTGCAGGTCCGAGATTCTAGACACACAAAACAGCCAGGGACAAACTTGCGGCCATGTTTGAGGTGTCGGGGCTCAATGGTGAGTGACATGCTTCGTTCTTGGCTCAGGTCAATCACGTAGGTTTTATCTGAAACCACAAAACAGATATGAGTCAAGATGAGATGTAGCCACAAACCGAAGTGTTGACTTGAAATAATAAAGACAAATATTCGGGGGGCTGGTGGCTATCATCCTAGCTAACTAAGGACACTGAGATCTGCAGATCATGGATTGAAGCCAGCCCTGGTAGGAAAGTCCTTGGGACTCTTATCTCCAATGAACCACCAGGAAACAGGAAGTGGCGCTGTGGCTCAAGTGGTAGAGCGCTCGCCTTGAGCTGAAGAGCTCAGGGGCAGCATCCAGGCCCAGAGTTCAAGCCCCACAACCAACCAAAAGAAAAAAGAAAAAGAAAAAGAAATAACATACTTAAAAGGCTGGGCGTAGTGACACAAACCAGTCATTCTAGCTACTAGGAAGGCAGAGATAGGAGGCTGGTGACTTGAGTTCAATCTAGGCAAAAGCAAAAGTCCCTAACTGGAAAATAAAGTGAAAAAGGGCTGGAGGTATTGCTCAAGTGGTAGCACTCTTGAAAGGCTTCGAGTTCTAACTCCAGGACTGACAACCAACCAACCAACGAAGCAAAACACAACCAAAAAGAAGAGGAAGAAAGAAAAATGAAAAAAAAAAATTAAGGACTCCAGGTACTGGTGGCTCACATCTGTCATCCTAGCTACTCAGGAGGCTGAGATCTGAGGATCGCAGTTCAAAGCCAGCCCGGGGCAGGAAAGTCTGTGAGACTCTGATCTCCAATAAACCACTAGAAAACGGGAAGTGGTGCTGTGGCTCAAAGTGACATTGGAGTAAAAGAGCTCAGGAACAGTACCCAGCAAGTCTCAGCACGGAAATAAATGAGAGAGACAGACAGACAGACTGACAGAGAGACAGAGAGAGACAGAGAGAGCGAGAAAGAGAGAGAGAGAGATCTTCTGGACAGAGCCTCATAAAAGCCCTCATTCAAGGGCATTGGTTAGATTCCATCCTTCATTCTTCATAGATTTCAGGTTCCGGAAGTCACGCCCACCTCCACACTACTCCCTCAGGGTGAAGAACCCGGTGGGCAGAGTTACAGGATGACCCAGTTCTTACGTAACCAGGTGAAGGTACCTCCAAGAGAGTGCCACCCTAACGATTGTACCCCGGGGGTGATATGACCTCACCCTAGTTCTTCCTCCATACAATTTTCATTCTAGGCCCATCTTGCAGTGGCTTTTATGAGTGTGTGTGTGTGTGTGTGTGTGTGTGAGCGCGCGCCAGTACTCAGCCTTGAACTCAGGTCCTTACATTCTCACTTTGCTTTATTGCTCAAGGTGTGGTTCTTTAGATACCTTTTTTTTCCTTGCCGGAGGCTGGCATGCAACGGCTTGGATCATCTCTCCAGTTCTGTTTTGGGGCTCACCAATGGGAGGTAAAGAATCTGCATGGATTTCTCTGCCTGGGGCTGCCTTTGAACCCAAATCCTCCAGATCTCAGCCTTCTGAGTAGCTAGGATGATAGGCGTGAGCCTCGCCTCCAGCTATACTATTTTCTTATTGTACTAAAAAAAAAAAAACAACCCAACAATTGTATGCCAGGTGTTCACCACTAAGCCTGGCTTCACTGCCTAGCAACTTACTTCCGAGATTGTGTTCAGTGTGTTCAGTGTCCAAAGTCTAAATGCTCAGGCGATCACAGGTAAGAAACAGGTACCTCCCCCAGGCAAAATAGCTGGGAAGCAGAGAAGGAAGTAAGGAGGGGAAGGGGAGAAGAATGGAGGAGTGCCCGAGCCAGGTAGCTCCTGCCTATAATCCTGTCTACCTCAGGAGCCTGAGATCTGGGGACCGTAGTTCAAAGCCAGCCTGGGCAAGGAAAATCCTTGAGACTCTTATCTCCAATGAACCCCCAGAAAAACCTGAAGTGGAGCTGTGGCTCAAAGTGGTTGAGCACTACCCTTGAGCAAAAGAGTTCAGGGACAGTGCCCAGGCCCTGAGTTCAAGTCCTAGGATGGACACCAGAGAAGGGGGGGGGGTTGGGGGGGTAGACAAGCAGGGCTCACTTACTGCTTTCATTCTGTGGATGTTGGACCAAAACTTGAAACTGTAGCCTGAGGATGCCAGGGCTTTGGGCATCTTGATCACAGCCCTGGAGGGAGAGATTGAAGTTTCCTGCCATGTTCCCAGGCTGTTTATCCCCCAGCTTGAACACCTCCGGGTTGGTGGTGGATCCGGGAATATAGTATTCCACACGCTCCTCCTTCCGCTCGCAGTTGGAGACGCTGAAGTTGAGGAAGGAGACACTGGCCCGCAGGTGGGCAGGGATGACAAACTGCCAGGTCATCAGCTCGTCCTCAGGAAAGGCTTCCGGGTAATTGGCAGACATCAAGGTAGCTGAGCCCTCACCCTCAAACACAGATTCGATGATGCACAGGCCTGCGGAGATGGAACCCAGACCAGAAAAGAGAAAGAAAAGGTCGGGGGGGGAGGGGAGAAGAAATGATGATTCTTGGTTATCTGTGGCTGAGGGGTTGGTATGTTAGGGGGAAAAAAAAAAGATGGGTGCCAGTGGCTCACCCTTGTCATCCTGGCTACTCAAGAGGCTGAGATCTGAAGGATCACGGTTCAAAGCCAACCCCAGGCAGAAAAGTCCGGTGAGACTCTGATCTCCAGTGAACCACCAGAAAACCGGAAGTGGTGCTTTGGCTCAACTTGGTAGAGTGCTCGCCTTGAGCACAGAGAGGCGCAGGGACAGTGCCCAGGCCCAGAGTTCAAGCCCCGGGACAGGAAAAAAGAAAGAAAGAAAAAGAAGTAAAGAAAGAGAGAGAGGGAGAGAGGGAGAGAGAGAGAGGAAGGAAGGAAGGAAGGAAGGAAGGAAGGAAGGAAGGAAGGAAGAAAGGAAGGAAGATTTCAAATTGGGTACCAATGGCTCCACATCTATCATCGTAGCTACTCAAGAGGCTGAAATCTTGAGGATCATGGTTCAAAACCAGGCTGAGGAGATAAAGTCCATGACACTCTTATCTCCAATGAGTCATCCCTCTACCCCCAAAAAAGAAAAAAATTTTCCCCTGAGCTCTTTTTGCTCAAGGTGATCGCTCTACCACAGAGCCACAGCTCCACTTCTGGAGTTTTCCGGTGCTTCACTGGAGATAAAAGTCTCCTGGACTTTCCTGCCCAGGGCTGGCTTTGAACCACGATCCTCAGATCTCAGCCTCCTGAGTAGCTAGGATGACAGGCGTGAGCCACCAGTGCCCAGTCAGAAGTTCTGACATTATTATCATCCCAGCCCAAGAATCCTGATGATCTGAAGCTGTGAAAGCTTCATTCTGCAGAGGGGAGGGGAGAAGAGAGGAGGGGAGGGGAGGGGAGAGTGTGCTCACGTTTTATAGACGATGATCGATTGGTGATGTTGAAACCAGAGGTGTTTCTGGAGAGGAACCAAGGCAGGTGCAAGGCCACTTTCACACCCTCTTGTGTCTTGATCCGGGACACGGTGCCGTTACTACAGAAGGTTCCGATTTGGACCACGGTGGCATCGATGCGGCCGCTGATGGAGTAAGAGGTCCCATCTTGACACTTCTCGCCGGGCGCGATCTGTCTCAGTCGGGGCAGGGGAAACTGCAGCTCCAGGCCCACGCTCTTATGGGCTTTCACATCCCAGATGAAAGTTCTGTTGAGTCTGGGTAATTCTGATGTCGGGGGCTGAAGTCGAACCTCCCCCAAAGGACACAGGCCTGACATGCAATCTGCAAAGCAGCCACAAAAGCATTTTACTTTTATTTGATTGTCAGTTGCAGGACTTGAACTCACACCCTAGACTCTAGCCCTGAGCATTTTCTCCCAAGGCGAGCGCTCTACCACTTTGAGCCATAGCACCACTTCTGGTTTTCGGGTGATTCATGGGAGAGAAGAGTCTCACAGACTTTCCTGCCTGGGCTGGCTTTGAACCACGAGCCTCAGATCTCAGCCTCCTGAGTAAGCTGAGATGACAGGCGTGAGCCACAGGTGCCTGGTTAACATTTTAATTTTTGTATCAGTTCTAAAGCTTGAACTCGGGGCCTGGGTGTTGTCCCTGAATTCTTATTTATTTTTTAAACTCAGGGCTAACACTCTATATTTGAGCCACAGCACCACTTCTGGCTTTTGGTGGTTCCTTGGAGAAAAGAGTCTCATGGACTTTCCTGCCCAAGCTGGCTTTGAACCGTGATCCTCAGATCTCAGCCTGCTGAGTAGCTAGGATGACAGGTGCACAAGGCTCTCTTCAAGCTTAAACAAATGAATTCATGCCCAACATTGGGATGGTAACCCAAGAACAGGGAGAGGGGTTTAGAACAGATCCTGTGCAAGTTTCTCGGCAGGAACTCACCGATGTTTTTCTGGATCTCCAGAACAAAGTACCTCTCTGGATCCGGGCAGCTGAAGACGATCGAGACTTTTTCTCCAGGTTTGACGAGCAACATGGTCACCTGCCTACGAGCCACGATGATGTAGCAGGGTCTCCCAGCCGCAGTTGGGGTCCCCTGCTTTATGAGAACGGTCATGCCACTCCCCGGCGGGACCACGATCTCAGAAGCCTCTGAAGGAGAGAGGAAAAAAGGGGGGGGGAAGGAAAGGAAAGATGAAAGAAGGAAGAGGAAGCAGAGGGAAGGCAGGCAGGAAGGGAATAAGGGAAAGAGAGAGGAAGGATGGATGGATAGGAGGGAGGGGAAAGAGGAGGAGGGAGAGAGAGAGAAGGAGGGAGGGGAGGAGGGAGGGAAGGAAGGGAGGGAAGGAAGGGAGGGAGAGAAAGAATGGAGGAAGGAAGGAAGGAAGGAAGGAAGGAAGGAAGGAAGGAAGGAAAGGATGGATGGATAGGAGGGAGGGGAAAGAGGAGGAGGGAGAGAGAGAGAAGAATGGAGGAAGGAAGGAAGGAAGGAAGGAAGGAAGGAAGGAAGGAAGGAAGGAAGGAAGGAAGGAAGGAAGGAAGGAAAGAAGGAAGGAAGGGAGGGGACATGATGTGAGCATTCCAGCTGTGTTTTCCACATCTGGTGTACCTAATACCTTTGTCTCTTCCCCTCCTGGTCTGAGAATGGGCAGGGTATACAGATCAACACCTTTGAGCTTCCCAATGACCCTGAGCCAGGATAGAACCGGCCAAGGATGCCTGTCTCTTGTTTGAAGTGGGGTGGGGGGAAGAAGGGGGTTCTGGGGTTTGAACTCTCAGGGCCTGGGTGCTGTGTCCTCGAGCTCTTTAGCTCCAGGCTAACGTTCTACCACTTGGAGCCACAGTTCTACGTTCTACTTTTTTGGTGGTTCACTGGAGACTAGAGTCTCATGGACTTTCCTGCCCGGGCTGGCTTTGAACCATGATCCTCAGATCTCAGCTTCCAAAGTAGCTAGGATGACAGGCGTGAGCCACCGGAGCCCAGCCCTGTCACTGATCTGAATTTTGATGTGGTATTTTTTTGGGGGGGGCGGTCCTCCAAGCTGAGGGAAGATCAAAGGAGCCTTGACTCTGTGGATTTCCAGGACTAAGCCAGGCTGGATTTCTGAGTCACCAAACTCTCTAGTTCCCCCTGCCTGGATTCTGTCTCTCCATATTCATTCATCCGGCTTCCAGTGGGAATTCCCACTGGTTTTAACCTCATATTCATTCTTATTCACCCTATCACAGGCCTGTCTGCTTCCTCTGGTAGTTCCTTCTCGGCTACCTTATTTCTGGGCAACTCCAAATCATAGCGTAGGAAACAAAAGCAGAAGCAAAAGGAATTCCCCCCCCCCACACACCCTGTCCAAAACCTGTCCACACACACACACACACACACACACACACACACACACACACACCCTGTCCAAAACCTGTCCAGTCATGATGAAGAGACAGAGTCAGATCTTCCCTGTAAGCCCCAGGGCTTGATAAGTAAGGAATGAAAAGCAAATCTAATCCTGCCCAGGAATTCCAGGAGCAACCACAAACACCTTTTTTTTTTTTTCCCCCATTGAAAATGGTGTGTTCTCATCCACAAGGTAAATCACGATAGAATTAAAAAAAAAAATTTCCAATCTGCTTGCCTGCCAGAATATCTCCGGGATATATATATGTATGTGTGTGTGTGTGTGTGTGTGTGTGTGTGTGTATACAAACAAAACAACCCCCCCCCAAAACCTTGTTTAAAATGGTCCAATGGGGGTGGAGGGTGGGGGGGGTGGGACAAGGTGCTTTGGTGGAAATCTGTACATCTTGCTTCATTTCAAATGCATCTGGGAGTGTAGCTTAAAATCAAAAGATCCCTGGAATTTGAAATGTTTGGTCACTGCTGTTCCCTCGTGTACTTTTTAAGACCACGTCTAGGAGGAAAGGCTTGGCTGTTTGTTTGGCTGGTGCTCTACCACTTGAACCATGCCTCCAGCCTGACTTTTTGCTGGTTAGAGATGGGCTCTATGGTTTTCTTTCTCATATTTTTCCTCCCTCCCTTCCTTCCTTCCTTCCTTCCTTCCTTCTTTTCTTTCTTTCTTTCCTCTCTCTCTCTCTTTTCATGGAGATGAACTCTCAAAAACCCAGGCTGACTTCAACCCACAGTCCTCAGAACTCAGCCCTTCCCCTGATCCCCAGAGTGCCAGGTGTCATTTGTGTTCTGACCAGATAAGAAGTGGCCAGCCAGACTGAACCCAAGGCTCAAGTGTTTAAGATCTCCAACCTCTTCTAGGCCAGTTCCGTTTATCAAGGATTAACAGCTGGAGCCCAGCCAGGCTCAGCTCCAGCATTAGCTCTGGTTTCACCCAGTTGGCCTGGTCCAGCTTTGGACTTAGAATTCAGTCTCAGGGTTCCAAGGAGAGAAGCAGTTCTCAGAGCATGCTGGGTATCCCTGCTTACATCTTTCATCTAATTGAGAACAACATTTAAGCGGCTACAAACCTGTCTGGTGGGTTCTTTGGCTACAAGGAAATGTGTGTGTGTGTGTGTGTGTGTGTGTGTGTGTGTGTTGGTCCTTGGGCTTGAATTCAGGGCCCGGGACATTATCCCTGAGGTTTTTTCTTTCTTTCTTTCTTTTTTTTTTTTTGCCAATCCTAGGACTTGAACTCAGGGCCTCGGCACTGTCCCTGAGCTTCTTTTGCTCAAGGCTAGCACTCTACCACCTGAGCCACAGTACCACTCCCAACTTTTTCTTTTTCTTTTTTTTTTTTGGGGTCCGGTCGTGGGGCTTGAACTCTGGGCCTGGGTACTGTCCCTCAGCGCTTCAGCTCAGGGCTAGCACTCTACCACTTGAGCCACAGCACCACTTCCGGCTTTTTTCTTTTTGCTTATGTGGTGCTGAGGAATCGAACCCAGGGCCTCAGGCTTGCAAGTGCTCTACCACTGAGCCACCTTCCCAGCCCACTCCCAACTTTTTCTGTGTATGTGATACTGAGGAATCGACCCCAGGGATTCATGCATGCTAGGCAAGTACTCTACCACTAAACCACCTTCCCAGCAATCCTTGAGCTTCTTTTGCTCAAGGCTGGTGCTCTACCACTTGAACCACAGCTCCACTTCTGGCTTGTTTGGTGGTTCACTGGAGATAAGTGTTTCACTTGACTTTCCTACCCGCGTTGGCTTTGAACCATGATCCTCAAATCTCAGCCTCCTGAGGAGCTAGGATGATAAACTTCAGCCACCATTTGAGCCACAGCTCCACTTCCGGCTCTTTTTTTGGAGGTGTCTTGTATTGAGAGTCACAAACCAGGTACCAATGGCTCATGCCTGTCACCCTAGCTACTCAGGAGGTTGAGATCTAAGAATCCCAGTTTGTAGCCACACCTGGCAGGAATGGCTGTGAGATTCTTATCTCCAATAAACTACTCAGAAATGGCCAGAATTGCCTTCTGTGCCTCCAAGCGGTAGAGCGCTAGCCTTGAGCACAAAGAGGCCCAGGGACAACATCCAGGCCCTGAGTTCAAGTCTCAGGACCGCTGGGAAAAAAAAAAAAAGAGTCTCACCAACTTTCCCAGAATCTCAGTTTGAAGCCAGAGAGGCCAGAAAAGTGCATACGACTCTTACCTTCAATGAACCCGAGAAACGTTGGAAGCCAAAGCGTGGCTCAAGTGGTAGAACGCCAGCCTTGAGCAGGAAAAATGCTAAGGGATAGCGCCCGTATGCTAGGTTCACACACACACACACACACACACACACACACACACACACACCATCACCATCACCACCACCACCACCAAATAATAAAAGGTGGCCCTGCGTGTCTAGACGGTTGTTGGCTGTCTGGGAGAGTCCGATGGGCTAATTACAAGGCTTGGTTAAGTAGTTTGAAATGGTTTGATTGCAGGATAATGTTTTTATAATTCTGAAGGGTAATTAAAGGTGCTGACCCTTTGTTAACCAGGGAGGCTGTGCACCTCTGGGGGGTCTCCATCTATCCTGACCCTCAATCATGGAATTCCTCTAACAGGCAAACTTCATGCTCCACGTCTCTACCTCAGCCTGCAAAACACAAAACCAAACAACTCTTGTCTCTCACAGCCCTGTCAGCAATGCTAGGCAAAAACACAAGTAAATCTGGGTGCCGGTGGCTCACCCCTGTTATCCTAGCTCCTCAAGAGGCTGAGATCTGGAGGATTGCTGTTCAAAGCCAGCCCAGGCAGGAAAAGTCTGGGAGACTCAGATCTCCAATGAACCACCAGAAAACCAGAAGTGGTGCCGTGGCTCAAGTGGTAGAGCGCTCGCCTTGAAGTAGAAAGGCTCAGGGACAGCGCCCAGGCCCTGAGATCAAGCTCCAGGACTGGAACAACAACAACAACAAAAAGTCTCACGGACTTTCCTGTCCAGGCTGGCCTTGAACTGCGATCCTCCGACCTCAGCCTCCTGAGTAGCAAGCATGACAGGCGTGAGCCACTAACGCTCAGCTCTCGCTTCACAATTGTTTTGAGCTTCCTCTACATTGCTAAGACATGAGAACCCCCTTGCCCCCCCCAAAAGAGCAGGTCTGTGGGTGGGGTGCCATCTCATCCAGCCTGGCAGCATCTGGGGTGGACACACACCCCAGGGCTGACAGCTAAGCCCGGAGCACAGCTCAGTGAGCGGCAGCAGAGAGGGCTGCGTGACTCAGGTCAGGCCAATGTGTGGGTTGTTGGGGTGTCGGGGAAGGTGGGACTCATCTGCTGGACTCATCCCCCCCCCACAATCCCTTTACCCCGCCCCAGGTGCCAGGTGCTAAGTATGCATTCCAGAAAACGGAAGGCAGCTGGAATCTGAGCTCTCTCTCTCTGACACACACACGCCTCATTTTTTTCTGTCTACTCACACTGTTAAAAGAGGCAGAAACAGAAGACAGCAAGAATGGGGTCATTGATCCCCCCCATCGGTGTCTCAGTGACTCATGGAAAGCCAAACCTGCTTGAATTCTTTTTTTGTCAGTGGTGGGGCTTGAACTTGGGGCCTGGGCGCTGTCCCTCAGCTCTTCAGCTCAAGATGAGCACTCTACCGCTTGAGCCACAGCGCCACTTTCGGTTTTCTGGTGGTTCATTAGAGATCAGAGTCTCACAGACTTTCCTGCCCGGGCTGGCTTTGAACCATGATCTTCAGATCTCCGCTTCCTGGGATGACAGGTGTGAGCCACTTCAACTTGCGATTTTAACCAAGTTATGACTTGATCTGACTAGTGTTGCATTCTTGAAAATAAGGGGTCTTCTACACACCCCACTAAAAAGCACATTCCCTGCTGGGCACCAGTGGTTTCCCGCTTATAATCCCAGCTACACAGGAAGCTGAGATCTAAGGATCAGGGTTCCAAGCCAGCTTGGGCAGGAAAGTTGATGAGACCCTTCTCTCCAATGAACTACCAAAAAGCCCGAGGTGGAGCTGTGGCTCAAGTAGTAGATACAGTCTTGAGCACAAAAGCTCAGGGCCGTATGCCCAGGCCCTGAGTTCAAGCCCCAAGATCGGCACAAAATGAAACATAAAAAGAAAAGGCAGGGGCTGGGAAGGTGACTCAGTGGTAGAGCGCTTGCCTTGCATGCTCGAGGCCCTGGGTTCGATTCCTCAGCACCACATAAGCAAAAAGAAAAAAGCAGGAAAGTGGTGCTGT